CTAAAAATACTGTCAGGATTTCTCAGTAAGTCCCCACTCAAGCCTTATATAACATTATTTAATGGGTCTTTTGACAAAAAGGCTTTAAAAACAATTAATATTTGCACTACATATTAACTATTTATATTTTTGCACCCCGGGACATGTTCTGTGTTCAACTTTGTATAGATTTTGCGATTGTGTATACTGTTTGTAACTAAAATACTTTTAAATGAAGAAAATGCTAAAACAAGACTTACACTTCAGAGTTTTTTTTACAGAAAAAAATTATCTGTTGAGTGACAGTTCCATAACACTTGCCCTTTTGATGCTGTGTGTATTTCATGCAGGAGGCGTAGATCTACCTTAGCTACAAATTAAATACAATTTGCTCTTAGATAAACATTTGTATGCAAGTCATCCTTTTGATTTTGAGAAGAAGATTAAAGTTTGATCACACAACTTTGAAGGCAGCAGCTCTTACCTGAGGGGTAAAGGAGAACTCACTGGCTGGCTCAACATCAGGCTGTCATGTGGTGAAAGCTGAAGAAAAGTGAAAATAAACCGACCAAGAAAATATATAAATAAAACAAACACCTGCAATGATTCATAAATGTTCCTCCATAAAAAGGGCATAACTACTGAACCATGCAGACAATGATTTCACTCTGTTTTCTCCACGGTGGTGATTAGCTACGTTTATCATGTGCATACATTGCAGAAAGCATTTGACTCTAATAACTGAAAGGCTCACCTGCACCAATATGCGAGGTCTCTGGGAGGAAGGGAAGGGGACTTTGTGCATAAAGTGGGAGATGTGCCTGAGATGAGGATAGAATATCAGGGGGTATGAGGCCAGAAATAACAGCAGTGGGTGGAAGGATGTGTCTTGTTACACGTTAGAGAAATACCACAGTTTCAAGAGTCAACCTAAAAACGCTGTTCAGCATTTTTCCACTGGCTTTTAAAACACACCTGATTCAAGTGAACAAATAAAACCATCAAGTAGCATCAGTGGGCAAACAAGCACATTCTAAACCACAGGTGGAGCAAGGGTTTTGAGGTCAAATCCTTTATGTAGCTGATAAAAGTGCTGATAGGGCATTTAAAACTTATCTGTTAAGTTTAAACATTTCATAAATTGTCTTCGAACTATTTTCAGTTAAATAACTAGCCTAGATATGTAGAAAAAACACTGCAGTAGTAAAAGACTTTGCTCTGCAGGTTGAGCTAGTCACACTCTGTTGTAGCCTCAGCAGAGCTACTATTGGCTCAGCTAAGTCTAGGCTGGGCCAATCACAGAGCTCTGTTTGTGGAGAGAAGTTGGCCGGGCTTAACACCTTTACAGCAATTTTTTTTTCTTTTACAATGAAGCTGCGACGAAGCAAAAACACAAGGATGGTGGCGGCTCAGAAACAACTTTGGACAAAGTAGACGGGCTTTTCTTTGAGACAAGAGCAGACAAAGGTACTTCTTCATGGACAGTGTATGGCAGTCCATTGACTGATTGTTGATATTATGAATATGTCACATTGTCCGTTGCTCTGATTGGCCCCAGCACAGTCCAACTGCGTGTAGAGACAGTCTGAAAGATACCTTCCCTATGACTGACCTTTGTTCATGGGTGGTGGCCAGATCAAATAATGACATAGGGCGGCTTGCCAGGCTATTAAATAACAAGAGTAACTGCAAAACTATCAATGAATTAGACTAAATAGTAATTGTATTGAAGCAACTTTTTGTAAGGAGTGAAGAAACCAGAAAAGACTCACTTCTCGATGGGCAGGGCATGGGGGCCTGAGATGGAGTAGCGATAGAGGAATGTGAGGAACTTGCGGAAAGCATCAAAGAAGGGCCAGTGAGAGAGCAGACAGATACACTTGTTGGTGTAGACCGAATGTGTGTTGGAGCTGTTGGTGTCATCGGTCATGGAGGTGATGGGAGACAGTCTGTGTTCTGGACTGAGGAGACCCAGTTGGGAGAGCTGTTGATCGGTCAGGCACTCCAGTGGGTATGGCTCATAGAACTGGATGGCAGCACCATAAACCTGAAACAGGAGGCTCCAGTCAGAACATGTTGGGCTCTTCAGAGTTTCACAAGTATCACCAAACATGCACCAGTTAGCCACAAAATTAACCAGAGGAGAGATTATGTAAAATAATTAAAAGAACTTTATAATTAGATTTTATTGATGCATCTTTCTACCTCAATGATCTCCCCTCTGAGTAATATTTGGGTAATTTTAGAGCAAAGATCATTTAATTTCATTTACTTTTTTATAAAAATAAAAAATAAAATATATATATATATATACATACATATATACATATACATATATATAATAATAATAAAAAATCTTTCAGTTTTAAAAAAACTGCAAAACTCTGAGGTGAAATCCTGGATTCCAACTTGGGGATTGGGTCCCACCAATTGTGTTTGTGCTGAGATTGTGAGGTTACCAAGAATGTTGTGTAAATCACACTGATAAAATCCCAATATCAAAACTGTATGAGATATAACTCTGTATTTCTGTAAAAAGTTTGTAATTAATCACTTTTAATATGTGTATGCCTGTAGGAATTGAAGTTGGGGGTCCTGGCTTCTCTTAGACATAGGCAAGGGGGTACCCAAGGAAAAAAGGTTAAACAATAGCAACATTTGAAATCATTCATTAAAGCCTACTATGCAACATTTTCATATTTTCAAATCATTTTATTGAGGCAGTATGTGCCAAAATCACCCTTTACAGGGTAAATGAAAAATCACTCAGGCCCCCACTGTCCTCTGTGGCCAGAATATCGCACTTGCAACTTCAGAGTGGTGAGCTGCCATCTGTTGGACATTTCCTGCATGTTTTAGATCATGAACACAGCTGATTTGTTTGATTTAGTGATGAATTGCTCCTGTAGACACTAATGAAGGCTGAGGAGACATTTCAGCTGTTAGGTATTAAAAAGACAAACGCAAAGCAAGGAAAAAAGTTTAGCTTTTGGTTCTACTAAACGGGCACTAAGGGGTGCTAAAAGCAAGCCAAAACTGCCAAGTTTTCTTGTGAAAATAAATATAGAAAAAACTGCATTCATATGAAATCCATACTCAGCTCACAGTGTAAGTTCTGTCAGAACTTTCTGGCAATCTTGATAAAAATTCTAAATGTTTGGCCCATGTCCAACACACCTTTTTCTTTGTGTCATTAGTAAAGTTTATTCTGTTTATCTGCATATAAACGGATAACCAATACTGCATGGAAAATAGTAGATTTTTTTTCTGAGTTCTAGATAATGAACCCTGAGAATAAAGGTCATTTCCAGCGCTGTTGAGCCCACACAGTCTGCTCCAAGGCCTGAACCAGAAATGTGGATGTATGGCTTGAACACAAACTCAGACAAACATGGAAAGGAGAGGCCAAAACTCAGCTCCATCTGTAAGAAAACCTTACCATTCACTGTTTGACCAATTAAGACATAAATGCTATGATTGCTCTAACATTCTGAAATGGCAGAACCAAGTGTTCATAAACAGTTGTGTGAATAATAGATGCAAACTTCACTTAAAAGAATGTTTGATAAGTCTGGTTCACTCTAGTGACTAATCAATGCAATGAGTACAATATGTGGGCCACAGAGCAGCAAACCGGGCCAGTTTCAGAACCGTGGGTAAACTAATCCCCTGTTTCGTGGGAATATGACACAAATCCTCAATCTGTGTACAGATCAAAGTCTTTTGACTTATCCACCACCTGTGGCAGCTGCTTTCTGTTGGATGATGAGTTAATTTGGAACAGCTGTTAAATCCTGTTGTGTTCAAACATTTACTTAATTCAATAAACGCCAAAAGGTTTTATGTTCCTGAATTTTTATTAACCAATAAAAAACTGTTTAAATAGAAACTAAATACTAGTGGAATTTAGCAGATTTTCTGATTTCTAATTTTACAAAATCTTCAATTTGGGTTGATTTGATGTTTTAATATATTAAAAACTACAAATGTGGAAATTCATACAATTATAACACAATAAACTACATGTACTGTAATTTAAGTGTACAAGTTTGTTCAGATTCGAATGAAGACGATATTTTAATGTCAGACAACATTTTGACATTTACTTTTTATATAAATTGTTAGGCATTTTACCAATTATTAAAAAATATCTAAATTTGTAAACCTTGATAAATGGAAGTAATGGTTTTGTAAGAAACCTAATTTAGTTCACCTCAGTTAAGATCCCAAAATCCACGTTTTGTGGGTTTTTACACCAGAAGTAAAACAAAACTGTGTTATAACCTTTCTAAAGTCAAACATGTAGTTACACACACACACACACACACACACACACACACACACACACACACACACACACACACACCAAAACATGACACAACAGTGGCGTTTGGCCCAGTAAGACTTTACTGGACTTTGGATGTTATTTGTATTTCACCAAATATTTCCCTGATATGATTCAACACTGATGTCATCCCAGCAGACCCAGAGACAGAGCAGGGCATGGGGAGGGGATGTGTGAGTTTAATGATTTTACTTTTCCAAATGCCCATTAGTACAGGTTTGTAGATGAGGGTGTCGTGTACAAAAGCAACAAAGAGAGGAGCCGTTACAGGAGCAGTGTTACTCTGCAATAACATCAGGTGAATGACAGATAACAGTCACCAGCAGCCTGTCGTATCTGATGATGCTGTCAAGATGTTTGTCAGTCTGAATCAGTGTAAATGAGAGGCAGAGTGTATCCATCTTACCTTCTCCCCAGAGGCCCCAGTGAAGACAAAGGTGGAAAAAACAGGCAGGGAGTATTTGGTGTTTGCTGGCCAGCACTCGATCGCGGCCCCCATGGGAAGGCAGAAGAGAGGGACAGACTCTGGAAGAGGAAATGATTCGTAGTCTTCCTCTGGGTATCTGCTGAATAACCCTTCAAGAGAACAAACAACACTAATTACAGGCAGGTTAATGCGAAGCAAACTCCTCTCAGTGAATACAAATCAAGTCTTAAAGTGGATGAAAAATCAACTTTCAAATGTGCTTAGAATAAAATAAATCAAGTTCTAGAACCTAAAACAAAAATAATAGAGTGCCACCTCAATAAATTACTGTGGCCTTTGAGTATTTAGTCTCTGTCAGCAAAACCAAAGCAGAAATAATGAAGCTGTTACTTTATTGTCTTAGTTAATAGAACACTGAGCTACATTAACATAGCTTCTACAGCTCTGTGACACAAACAGCTTGTATTTGAAACATTCTTAATAAAAATAAAAATAATAATAAACACCTGCTGACCAACCATCACATGATCTAACACAAAAGAGTTTAGGAGCTTGAATAAGTTGCATAGAGCTCCTGTGCATAGAGCTGCTGACTGTGGCCAATGAAGCTATTTCACACCTAGCAATACTTCACCTGGAAGGAAGGGTAACTTAACTTCAAGAAAGGGCATCAGCCGACTTGTGATCATGTTTAAATAAAAACACTCATGGCTTTATTTCCACTCTTTTCCAACAGGCACAGAACTGACATATAAATGGATGCGGGCAATACGACTAGAACGCCACCATCACCGGCAATCTCTGAGGATGGCTAAAGCTACTAGCTGAAACATGTAAGGTAAACAAATCATTTGTACTAAACTGTGTAAGAAAAGAACTAAAAAATGGATCATGGACAAAAACACAGTATGAACGCACAAAACAGAAGAATACAACTAGAACAAGGAAAATCCAACACTTTGTTCCTGCAGACTGTGAGGTCATGAACTTTAAGCAAGTTGTTTGTCTACAAAAAGCATAATTTCAAGTCTCTTTACTTGAAATTATGTTTTTCCCAAAAAAAAGCGATTTTTTTGTGAAAGAGTAAACAAACATCTTAAGAGTCTTCTTCACCAAAAGAAAGTGGAGCCTACTGATCATCATACTGAACCCACCCACAGGTAGCATTACCCTGTACATGAAATTAATCATTTCACTATTTCATGCATCCACTATTAAATATGACTTTCAGAATGAATCCATTAAAGATATATTGAATCCAATTAAGATAAATAATTTTGAAACTCGTTCACTCTCCTCTACTGCGCTTCAAAGCAAAACATTTCAAAGGGAGAATTATGGCGTAACATTACGCAGGAGTGTAAGTTATTATGCTAAAAACAAAATCTTTGTATTCAATTAAAATAGACTGAATGTTAAATAACGTATACTTGGGCTGCTCAGCAAAGTTTAATGGGCAACAATTAACACTAATGCACTGAAACAATGTTGGTGTGTAGGTGCCTGTCTCATCTAAGCTCTCATAGCTTTCAACAAGATGAAAGTTGCTCATAACGATGTAGAGGAACACTCAGATCTTTTCCCAAACCAACAAAAAAAACTTTGATCAAAAAGAGTAAAAGATGAATTCAGTGGAATAAATATTCATGAATGTAAGATGAACTATCAATGGCAACATTCATCTGAAGTTACATTTAGTTCCCTTCATCCATTAAGCCAGTAGTCATGAGCAGAACTGATAATAATGAGTCTTCACTGAGCTTCACCTCTGTGTGTGTGATGGGAATGCTTACCTGCTTTATAGGCCATTACATTGGTTTTAGCCACAGACTTCTTGTAGCACAGGTAAACGGAGGAACCCCACTAAAAACAGGAACACAGTTAGAGCGTTATCTTAATAAATAGGAATCATCTTTTGTGAAATCAGACACTAATATATAAAAAAATATCTAACAAGGACCAGATTTATAAGAAGGCCCTAAAGGGACACTGGCAAAAAGAAAAATCTAAATCATTTCCTTACAAACAGAAACTGGTGTGCAATTGTTGAAGCCTCTGCAGACAGATCTACTTGGTATTCAAAAGTAAACTGTGACCCAATTATTTCAAACCAGAATAAATAATGAGACACAGAAAGAAATCAGTCAAGTGTTTTGGGCCTCGACAGCTGAATGACATCTGAAGACTTTTCTTCCAGTGAACATTTGATTCTTTCTTTTCACTGAGCAGCTCAAAAATGCTTTTCACAACAAAAACAATAGATTTCTGTTCATGAAGTTGGAAGTAAAACTGAACTAGATGATTCTAAAACATGTTCTGTTCCTGTAGTAGTGGCGAAGATGACAAAAGCAGTCATTATCAGAAATTATCTCAAACTCAATCCCATTACTAAAAAGTATGATCTAACTAAGATGTTTAATTTCAGTGTATATGATTGGTTATTGTTGCCTTTGACTTGTAAAACACTCACAGCAGTTCCAAACCCATGAGAGTTGGAAGGAAATTAAAACAGTTGAAGATGGGAAATGGCATCCCCCGGCTAAATAGGCAACTTTTTACACTCAAACAATCTCAAATATCAAGACTACAAAGATCTGACGTCCTGTTTGGAACAAATTTTAGTTCTCGACCCACTAAAATGAAAACCAGCAGTTGTGTGGTAAACCTAGAATGACTAAAGCCTTTTGGGTAGAAATGATACCCAGTTTAAAGGCACAATTGTTATTATTGTTATTTGGCTCAAATAGAAAATGTTTATTTAAGTCAAAAGTGGAAGGAAAATTAAATGAGGCAAAGATACTGTTTCATGAAAGGAAACCCCTTGAGTGACCTAATTTGACCAGATGGAGTTCAGGTTGAACTACATGAGGGAAAGTACCTCCCCCATGAAAACTGTGTCTACAGGGTGGGCCATTTATATGGACACACCTTAATAAAATGGGAATGGTTGGTGATATTTGTTTGTGGCACATTAGTATATGAGAGGGTGCAAACTTTTCAAGATGGGTGTGACCATGGTGGCCATTTTGAAGTCAGCCATCTTGGATCCAACTTTTGTTTTTTCAATAGGAAGAGGGTCATGTGACACATCAAACTTATTGGGAATTTCACAAGAAAAACAACAGTGTGCTTGGTTCACAAACAAATATCACCAACCATTCCCATTTTATTAAGGTGTATCCATATAAATGGCCCACCCTGTACATAGTATATGTCAATCTCCTGCTGGACCAGAACATTGTGATACACAAGATGGCTCCAGTGGAGAAGAGTTCATAGGCTTCGGGTTACACAGCATAAAACAGGAGAAATCCAGCATCAGAGATGAGTTTAAGATCTGAAACTTAACACAGAATGTCTGACCAATTCACCAGCAACTTCAAAATGTCATGGAAAAGCACATCCTGCCAGAACCAATAACACCAGAGAAGATTTGACATTTGAGGATGCACCCTTACTCTTAGGCTGTGCCCAGGTTTCTGCCATTATCATGAATGGTTTGTGACATCAATGTGAACAGAGATGTGAGAACTAGAAGTTGGGAGTCCATGTCTTTTTCTAATAATGGTGATTTATGTGATTATTCATCCATCACGCTGGTCAGGCATCTTTACAAATTCTACTGTTAAATCAAAGCTTTTCTGCAGCTGCTGGAAATCTACAGACTCCCTTACAAATCATTAGCACCCACTCACTATGCTGCTGTTGAGGTTCTTCTCCACCCTACAGAAGGTGTGAGGGGACGTCTCGCCTTTGCTGGGGATGATGATGCAGATGTCGGTGACGGCCAGGGAGGCGTGGGGTTGGCTCTCGGGCGCTCGGCGGTAGGTGATATAGATCCGCTGGGAGGAATTACCGCTGATGTTGGCTGGACGACCAGACGGGGTGGTCTGGATGAGGTAGCATCCCTGCTTTAGTCGCTCCTTCCATTCAAACAGCACACTACAGGAGGGATGACATCACTTTCAGCCACTCAGTTAATATTAAAAGAATTATAAATTAAGCTAATCATTTAAACATGAACTTTACACTTTATTTTAAATACATTTGCATCGAGCTCTAGTAGAAATGAATGTAAATCATACTCAAGAGGGAAAAAAGCTCAGATGCACCTGTTTCAGGAACTAGAAGTGAGCCAGAGCTAATCTGAGCTGAACATGGCAGAATGTAAACTCTTATTTCCTGATATTTGGACATCTCGTGAGGACTCTTTCAAAGGGCATTTTAATTGGTGCTAAAGACTTCTTGAATCTAACAGGGTACACCCTGGACAGAGAGCCAGTCCATCGCAGGGCAACACAGAGACACACAGGACAAACAATCACGCACACACACACACACACACACACCTAAGGACAATTTGGACAGCCCAAGTCAACCTAACAGTCATGTTTTTGGACTGTGGGAGGAGGCCGGAGTACCCGGAGAGAACCCACGCATGCACAGGAAGAACATGCAAACTCCATGCAGAAAGATCCCAAGCCGGGAAGCGAACCCAGGACCTTCTAACTGCAAGACAACAGCTCTAACCCCTGTGCCACTGTGCAGCCCTGTTATGCACTTATCCTCCATTAGTCAGCAGGCTTTCTGTGGCACCATCTGAGGGCTGGACAGAGAACAGACTTTAAAGCCAACAGCTGTTAAATCTGTTATTTTGTCTGTGCTCACTTCTGATGCTTTGTGCACTAATTATTTCTTTCTGCTGCGGTTATACAAGATCATTTTTTCTAAATGAAGTCTGTGATCAGTGCAGTTTATTTTCTCTTTTTTGGAAACATAAGCAGAGTTCCAGTCAAAATTTAAACTGCTTTTTGTGCTTGCTAAATTAAAACTCCTCAAATAGCTAGTTAGGTAAGAATGTTATACAACTTTTTCAAAAGCTGGTCTTAATTTTAGAGAAGCTTCGCCCAACTCTGGTGCACAAAAACAAAATAAAACAATCATTGATTTAAAAAAAAAAGCCAGAATATAGACATTTTCAAATCAGTCATTTTATAAGTGAAATTATAAATATGAATGTCTTCATTTATTCTAAATTGTGTGCATGTTGCTCCATTGAAGCTTCTATTAATAACCTTGTAAACTCCAGTTAGCTTTACTTTCTATAAATACATTAATATCTTTTTATTCAATCAATCACAGACGTTCACAAAAATGGATTCAAGTAAGTAATGGTGACACCTGCCCGCTCACGCCAACACCCCTCCTGTCTTTGTGTGAGGGGTGCTGCCTCTCTGAGCGATCAGCACCCGGAACAGAAGCTGCTGATTCTGTCTGAGCACAGCAGCTGCATCAGTGCCTGATAAGCACTGAACTCTGCGATGTCAGAGGCAAGAATGAGCCTCTCTTGTGTCCTCAATCACCTCTCGCCTCAGCTAGCAGTGTGGGTGTGAAAATGGAGTATTGGATTCACACATTCTAGAAGTCGTGGCTGAGGAGGACACCTGGATCAGAGCTTCACTTTCACTTAAAGTCACTGGAGGGAACGGCCACAGGCAGACACAAAACAGAACGCTGCTCTGAAAATCTAATTACTTATAAAAGCTGACTGACTTAGAAACTCAGCATTACGATGTTCATACGTAGCAGAAGCAAATAGTCTCTGCAACAAAGTTGAGTAACAGAGACAACAAAGACAAGTTACATACTCAGAAATATTAGCCTGGAAAGCCATCCTGTATAAGTAAATATAAAGGCTGTCCATGACTCATAGAAAGGCTGTCCATGACTCATAGAGCTGAGTCGTGGGGCGGAACCCACAGTTGTTTCTCCAATGGTCTCAATTATTGTTTGAATGCTGTTAAGCATTCAAACAATTGTTTTCCTGTTTTTCTTTCTTCTTCTTCTTCTTCTTCTTCTTCTTCTTCTTCTTATTCTTATTCTTCTTCTTCTTCTGCTTCCGTACACTTTTTAAACCTTTTCAACTCCTTCAAATGTTTTACTATTTCAACAATTTTATATCAAAACGTTCAGCTTGTTAAGCTCTTTCCGGCTATTACTTTTGGCATTGATATCTTTAAAATTTTTTGAGTTATTAAGCTTTTTCTGCGGAAATTTTTTCCATTGAAATGAATGGGATTGGTCAATTTTCAGCAAATTCCTATCACTTTTTTGACCTAAAACTTTATTGGGTTCCCTTTAACTTAGAGACTTCATTCAAAGTTTAACAAACTCACAAGACTTTCCTGTTTAACATATTAAACAGGCTTTTTGATATATTTTAAGGTTTTTCTAAAATCACAGGTAGAAGTTGAGGTACGACTTGAAATTTTCAGAAAAATTCACAAAAGTTATAATCGGGAAAGATAGGAGCAGTGACCCTCCCTTGCTCCATTTCTGGCGTTGTCCCGAGAGAACCGTAGGTCCGATTGAAATGAGACACATGCTGACTTACAGCTAACGAATATACCATCGTTTTGAGCTATAATTCATGACTGTACTCCAAACATTGTGGTCGTATGGTTCATTTGTTTGAGAAAATTCTAATTTAAAAAAATGTTTCCCACCACTCTAAACTGAAAATTCCGCACTCTAACTTTTGAATTTCACATCTTCTGTGAACAACTCTTTACTACCCCCAGACTGTTTGGACTACCAAAAATTATAACTTTAAAAAGTAGGAATTTTTGTCCGCTTTTCAGAATGGGTTTTATTTTATCTATAAGTGTTACCGTTCTTTCGCTACAAGCCTCAAAAAGAGGAGAGACCCAGATTTTCCCTCACTGAAACCCATGTTAAAGGAACAGAGATTTTCTCCTCCAATCAGCTTCAGACAGCTAAAATGTTCTCATCATAGCTTCTAGACAATTCATGGTAGGCAAATAAAAATTCACACAGATAACCATCAAAGCCTTCTGCCGCTAACGCTTTTTGAATTTTTCAAATCGGTGCAGTACTTTTCAAATGGTGATGAGAAGTTTGACAGGTCTAATTTCACTTCTGAAGGACAGATTTAAAGGCTTCACTCATTAACAGGAGTACAGCTGCAGGCCTCTAACAGCCAGGGGAAAAGGTGAGAAAACAGTGCTGCTCTCTGATTGGTTGAGAATGTTCAACCACTTTCTGTCCAAGCAGGATCCAGCATCCACACATGATACATCAAATCGACCAGCTTGGTCTCAGGAATCTTGTATTCAATTTTAAATGTGTTATCTGTTACCATGGTAACACAAGTGCATAAGTATATCCCCAAACAAGTCTTCTTGAAATGAATGTGAAAAGCCTAATATTGAGCCTATAACATACTGCTGTTTCTTATCTTTCTGAGCTCTATACACTTAAAACTAGCAGCATAGCTAACATTTTAACACTACTCAGAAGGCAGGAACCGCCCCCTCCTCCTTCGCTGCTCTCTCATTGGCTGAGAGTTTTCAATCGTCTTCTGCCTAAAAGGAAATATGCACCCAGACATATGATACATCAGTTCAACCTGCTTGGTCCCAGGAGTCTTGTATTAACTTGATATTGTGTTCTGCATTACCATGGCAACGTGCTTAGCAACAACATTCAACAACATTTTAGACACAGCTGTATCAACATACTTTAATATAGAAATGTTATTCAAAGTTTAAAAGTCATGTGACATTGCACATTGCTTTATTAATGCAGACCCCTGTCATCTGTTACCATGGCAACACAATGAACTACAAATCACTTTAACTAAGTCTCATAGGAATGAATATAAAAAGCTGAATATTGCCAATAACAGACCCCTGTTTTTGATCTTTGTGAACTATCTGTACTTAAAACTAGAAACAAGTTAAATTTGATTGACTGTCAGAAAGTGGGAAAGTGCCCCGCTCCCTCCCAGCTCCCTGATTGGTTGAGAGAGGTTAATCATCTTCAGGCTGAATGGAATTACACACCCACACAAGTGAGACATCAAATTGATCGGCTTGGCCTAAGGAATCCATCCATCCACATATAAATAATCAAATCCATCCATCCATCTAACATCCATCCATCCAACAATCCATCTGTTATTTCATTCATACAACCATTCATCCATCCCATATCATGTCTGAACATATGTTAATCTATCAGTTTCAGATATCAGCAAATATTTCTAAATTCACAGTTCAGCCAGTTGTAAAAATGTACCCATTAAACTATTCTCATTCAAATGCCAGCTGTTAAACATTTTAAATTTCGAGTTTTTAATCAATGTTCAAAGATAAAAGTTTTCTGCTGTTTAGCATTTTTTTTGTCCATTCTTCACCTATATTCTGAGCTTTATTACACTTGTTGGGGATTTTTGCTTCTAAATCTTTAAATACATTCAGCTCATTTTGACAGTTTAGCTTAGTTTCAGTTTCACTTGAGCTATTCAGCAGCTTCAGCAATTAGTTTCTGAATTCGGCTTATGCTACTCATTTCACAGCTCAACTAAATTTAAAAATAAACTGTTAAACTAGTCCTACTCAAACAACAAGTGTTTAGACATTTTTGCTGTCCAGATTTTTAAAGGGGCATTATGGAAGTTTGACAGACAAAATATGTATAGAAATAATACATTTCTTCTTCATACATTCTCCTGCAATGCCCTGGTCCTGTAGAATGAGCCCTGGCATTTTTATTGTGATTGCCTATTTTTCTGTAAAATCACAGAAAAAGAGAGCTGCTCGGGTCGAGCAGGCTGCTTCATGTGCGTTCACGCTCAGGCATAGCCCTCCAAACCGTTCTTTGAACGTTGTTTCAGCTGTGATCAAGGACATAAATGTCACAGATACAAATGACTCCACTGGCGATTTAGCTTGTCTAGTATAATTTCAGGCTTTCGTGCAGAAGACCCGGGTTCAATTCTGGATGTGAACATGGTTGTTTCAGAATTTTGTTTTTACATTAATGATATATTTTTTTACAGTAAGATGCCCAAATTTTTATTTGAGACTCGCCGAACGGCATTCAATTCACAGATAAAAAAGATGTGGGTTCAACTTTCATTTTGGAACAATTTTTCAAGTAAGGGAATGGAATTATCTGAGCATGCAGGAGAACTGACCCATCATAAACCTTTGCTGAAGAGAAAAGTACAGAACCAAACTATTTAATTAATTAGCTGCGTGTTCTCCTGTCCTCTGTCCTCCGGGCCATACACACACACACACACACACACACACACACACACACACACACACACACACACACACACACACACACACAAGGAACTGTCAGCTCTCAGAGCTCTGTGAAGCTGACAGGGGTCAGCTTCACAGAGCTTCGTCTCAGCTGTTATTTTCGTTAAGGAGTGTGCACGTACAGCATGCGCGCCTCGTGCACGAGCCTCCTATTGAAGCTGCCGTTACGCTTTTGGCCAGAGGGGGCTATCGCGAGCATAAAAATTCAAAACTCCGTAAAGTCCCTTTAAATAATGTTCAGATTTCAGTTTTCTGCTGTTTAGGATTGTTTTCTCCGTTTTCCACTTTTTGTGCTTTATTTACATTTTGGTGCTTTTTGCTTCTAAATCTTTCAAAACATTCAGCTCATTTTAACAGTTTTGCTTAGTTTCAGCTTCACTTGAGCTATTCAGCAGCCTCAGCAATTAGTTTCTGAAATTCAGCATATGATGCTAATTTCACAGTTCAGCTAAATGTAAAAATTAAACTGTTAAACTAGTCCTACTGAAATAACAGGTGTTTAGACATTTTAGCTGTCCAGTTTATTTCAGTTTTCTGCTGTTTAGGATTAGTTTTCTTGATTCTTCACTTACTTTTTGTGCTTTATTTGCTTGTTGGTGCTTTTTGCTTTCACATATTTCACTACATTCAGCTCATTTTGACAGTTTTGCTTAGTTTCAGCTTCAGTTCAGCTGTTCAACAACTTCAGCAATCAGTTAACAAATTTAGCATAAGCTGCTAATTTCACAGTTCAGCTAAATGTAAAGATTAAACTGTTAAACTTGTCCAACTGAAATAACAGGTGTTGAGACATTTTAGTTGTCCAGTTTTCATAAAATGTTCACATATTTCAGTTTTCTGCTGTTTAGGATTAGTTTTCTTGATTCTTCACTTACTTTTTGTGCTTTATTTGCTTGTTGGTGCTTTTGCTTTCACATCTTTGACTACATTCAGCTCATTTTGACAGTTTTGCTTAGTTTCAGCTTCAGTTCAGCTGTTCAGCAGCTTCAGCTATCCAGCATTCAAACAGCATTTGTGCAATAAATGCAAATTTTTCTAGTTAGGTTAGTAACAAACCTGGCTGTATTTTGTAGAACAAGAATGCGGATAAAGGCTTTAAAAAAAGAGGTGGGAATACAAATGTTCCTTTTTATTATGTTTAAAAAAGTACATCTAAACTAATGATCAGAGTTTTCATTTTCGAGCAGTGTGTTTCAAAAAGCATTGTTGTGTTTTCACCAAACACTCTAACAGCCACAGAGCATCTTTTGGTACTTACCCCAAGTCAGTGAGTGGTGGTTTGTCACGGCCTCGCCTGTAGCACAGGAATATCTGTGGTGCCATAAGGCCACCATTGTTCAGATCGGCTGATTGGCCACTTGGTGTGGTCTCGATGCATGTAAACCCCGGAGGCACCTCCTCTCCCAGTGAGCGGATAACCACCGTCACATCGGTGATGGGTGCTTTCGGCTTGGCCGTCTTGTGGCACACGTCATCAAAGTGGATCTCCTGGTCCAATGGCTTGGACGGGTCCGTCAGACCGGCCACCACAAAGTAGTCGGCTACACGTGGGCCTTTGTCCTCCATCATTTCCCATCCCCGCCAACTAGCTTTGGAAGGAAGAGAAGCGTGAAGACAGAAATGAAGGAGATTAGTTTTTGTCGTAGAGGGAGATTTGGCTGACATGCTTTTGCTTTAATAGTAATACAAAAAAACTGACAGTCATAAATCTTAATAAAAGGCACACATAAAGGGCAAATGAAAGAAAGTAAGAAGGGAAGGTACATTAGGGTACGACAGAACAGGATTTTAGCCCACTGATCTTAGATTGATAATCCACACTCAAGGACATGTGCGCCTCTGGTAAGACAGACAGGACCACAGATTTATGCAATTATTAAAATGTGACTTAAAGCTCAATAATGATAAAGTCAATCTTAAAGACAACACTGACTATAGGACACATTATAAATTGATTGAAATCCATTCAGGAACATTTTTTTTATTTTTTAGCAAAATGCTTTTTCTTTTATGGCAACATTTTGACATGACAAAATAGATCAACTGCACTTTAGAAAAAACAATACTTTAATTCTGGTTTGCACTTGACCTTTGATTGATGCTGTGTCATGGTCTCGGTGCCTTTTCCAGGCACTCAGAGCAAGCAGCAGGACCACTGAAGTGAAAGCTTAAGACCAAAAAACCTCATTTGAATGTGAGGCTCTGGTAGAGAAGAAAAGTAAATCAATGGTGAGAGAAGAAACTTTGGCAAATGCTTGAGGCATTGTCTAAAAAGGGAAAGACGTCTTTAAAAAAGGATGTTTGCTGCAGTTCTCGAAATACCTTTTTTCACTTTGTGTGGTTTTGGTCTAAATATGTAGTTAGGACACTTGTCCATCCATTTTATGAACAATACTAAGCCAGTTTCTAAGTTAAAACAAGATATAACAAATAAGCTACATTTGACAAGAAGTTGAACTTAGTTTTTTTCACCAACCCAGGCAGCCGGTCTTACTGCCTTGTGCAGACTCCATTCTTTTCACTTTAACTTGTAATTTTGAGGGGTGTGGTAAAGTACCTTCCCAGTGTGCCTCACTAACACAAGCCTACAGGACATGAATGTGTCTCTGTGGGCTGCCGTGAAGATTTATTCTAGTAAATGATGCAATAACCATGGGAACACATTTTAGTTCGTGACAGCTGTAATCGGGAGTGCTCAGTAACGTATTCAGATCCAATACCTTTCAAGATTTTTTACATAAAACATAATTTTACACAATTGGCAAAAATAAAAGAAAACTTTTATATATCTTTAAAAGCATTCCCTTGCTGGTGTTATACTCAGTGATGCAAAAATGTTTTATTTCATTTACCAAAGAGGTATTAAACTGTAAAAAAAATCTGTCATTCCAGCTATACAGCAGGAAGGTGTGGGAACAGATTTAAATGAGCAGGGTTTGTTAATTATACTCAACATGCTGGCTTAGGGATGAAGGAGAAAAGCTGCCAACTCCTGTCTGTTGCATGTGCAAAGCAAGTTTCAAGCTTCCAACACTGATGCATACAACACTGCTGGTACCTCTGTGTGTTTACCTCTGTCATTAGGAGACATAAGTGACTAGATATTTTATTTTATTTTTTTACCTGTACCAATAATTACCTGACTTCAGTCATTTTGTAATGTGAGTATTCCAGTGATGACAATTTATGTCTACTCCTGTGAATCATTTCTGTACAGTTCTGAAGTAAAAACAGCAAGTTTACAATCCCTGTCAGATTTACAAGGTGCCTTTTTTACATTAGCTCTGTGTGTAAATTCATAATCCATTACTTTGTTTATTAACACAGCTTAGTAAAAAAATATTTTTTTTTTACCTATGGATTTTGAGGTACCTGTTTGTTAACACAAACATCTAATCAGCCAATAATAAGGCAGCAACTTGGTGCTTTTAGGCTTCTAGATGTAGAGCATCTGTAGACGACTATAGCGCATCAGTTTGAAGGTTGTTGGTGTTAGGCTGAGCTAGGCTGAGTATTTTAGGAACCGTTGATCTATTGGGATTTTCAGTCACAACCACTTTTAGGCTTTACAGATGATGGTCTGAAAAATCACTAGTTGTGTGAACAAAAATGTCACATGGAGGTCAGAGGAGAAAGGTCAGATTGGTTCTAGATGACAGAAAGACAACAGTAGCTCAATTAACCACCAAGGTCTGCAGAACAGTATCTTTGAAGAACAACATGTTCTTCTTAAAGCAGATGGACTACAGCAGAAAACCACTCCAGGTGTCTATCTTGTCAGCTAAGAACAGTAAGGAGGGGGGTGTCCCACTTTGGAACCCATAAGGGGCTTCCACACTAGCGCTGGCACTACTCTGCCTGGATATGGCAGGAAATGTTCACATCCACATAGCCTGGATTTTTATTCCATGCGAAACCAGGTGTTTTTCAGCCCTCTTCCCAAGGCGGTCTGCTTTGGGCTGAACTGGTCCAACACACCCACTGCCAACTGATTGGCCATCTCAAATTCACGCCTAACATTAGGTAGAACCTCCGATTGGCGGACAGAATCAGCCAGCTGGAGCTTCCCGCATGCGCAAGGAGGAAGCAATGCCTCTGACCAAAGCTGTCTCTTTTTCTGTCGCTCTCTGAGGAGACACACAGAGACAGTGCTGCCAGGCTTGAACTGCGCCAGGAAAGACACAGCAGAGCAGAAAACAATATCAGAGTTAGACTCCAAAAACAACACTGCTCACGGCCATGTGCTCGGAGGTGAGCTCATGACATCACTGATATCTTCTCGCCAATTTTGAAGACTGCCCATATGCTCAGTCATGTCTCCATTCCTAAGGATGTGCAGAAGGATGCATGTAATCAATCCGGCCAGGCTGGGGCTGCCTGAGCTGAATGAAGCCGGCCCTAGAATGGGAGGGGCTTTAGTTCCACCTGAGCCTGGTTTAAACACCACAGCCTACCAGAGTATTGTAGCTGACCATGTCCATCCCTTTGTGACCACATGGACCCATCTTCTGATGGCTACTTCCAACAGGATAATCAGATCTCAGATCAGTCTGGAACCTTTGGGACGTGGTGTAACAGGAGATTCTCACCATGGATGTAACAGTGTCATGCTGTCATGTTATAATGGACCAGAACCTCTGAGGAATGTTTCAAAAACCTTATTGAATTGATGAGACAAAGAATTTAGGTGTTTATGATGAAAAGGGGGTTCAACTTTTTACTGGAGTGGTGTATCTAATAAAGTGGTCTATGAGTGTTTGTGTAATTCAGTGATTTTTCTTAATGTCTTTGTTAACCTTGTCATATTTTTGCATCACAGTGACTGATTGCCTTAGATAAGCTGTCCTGTGCACATTTGGTGAAGAAAGGCTTGTTTCTTCGTATAATAAAAAGATCTTAACAGGGTTAATGTGCTAAGCTCACATCCAAACAAAGAATGATCTCTCTGTTGTCACTGCAAAGTTATTGACAGATGGTGAGAAAGCGCTGTTTCAGTGTGTTCTGGCGCTAGCACTCAGATTACAAATGCATCTTGCTTCATCACTTCCACTCAGTGGGACAACAATGAGAAAAGAGTCCTTGTTTTCTGAGTAGATTTTCTCAGCAAAGACGTGTCTGCTCAGCTGTGATAAGGCAGAAGGTGGTCCAATCACTTAACATATGGTGTCAACACGTTCAGACATAAATTCATACTAATGACCCCCTCCTGTGGTTTTGAGTTTGAGAATAAACGGATGAATGAAGAACTGCTACAGGAATTTCAGGGGCCTCACATCTGCACAGTATACAGAGTCAAAAACCACAGTCAGAGCTAAACTTCCTGCCTGAGACACAAAAGAGGCTCATAAATGTTCCTGGGACACTTGGATCACAGCACACTCGTGTCAAAGGAGAGAAATGGGAGAAATTACTTAGTCTCTTTCAGAAATGTCCACAAGGGAACTGAAGAAAGCATAAAAACCACAAAAGAAGAAGAAGAAAATATCATTTCTATAGCGCCTCTCAAGATAAAAATCACTAGGCGCTTCACGAAAACAAAAAATGTAAAAATATAAAAAAGAATTTAGAAAATGGTTAAAATATATTTTAAATGAGCAAAAAATAGACAATTGTGATTACAAAAATGTTAAGAAAGAGAGAGAGTGAATAGGAAAGAGGGAAATCAGTGGATCTTGAGGAAGGTGGAATAGGTGGGGAGAGCAGAATAAAGAAAGAGTGGTGAAGAAGGTCATACAAAAGCCAGCTTGAACAAGTGAGTCTTCAGCTGTTTTATAAAGGAGACCACTGAGTCCACTGATCTCAGGCTCAGGGGGAGAGAGTTCCAGTCTAAGGGCCACAGCAGCAAATGATCTGTCACCTTTGGTCTTCAGCCTGGTGCGCTGCACAACCAGTAGGCTTTGATCAGTGGACCTCAGGGACCTGCTGGGGGTGTAGGGACTAAGAAGATCACCAATGTAAGATGATGCTTGTCCATGTAAGGCCCTATAGACCAGAACCAGGATCTTGAAATGAACCCTGAAGTTGACTGGCAGCCAGTGAAGCTGGAGGAGAAGTGGGGTGATGTGGGTGTGTTTGGAGGACTTGGTCAGAAGCCGAGCACAGGCATTCTTAACCACCTGTAGACGGTTCAGGGAGGTTCTGCTCAGACACGTGAAAAGAGAGTTACAGTAGTCTAAGCGTGAGGAGATGACAAAACACAAAAAAGAGTCGTTTCTCATTTAAAAATGGAAGCTGAAGCAACACTGATGCAAGTGAATACTTCAGTGTTTAAGTTTAAATAAGAAACACGCCTAACAAAAACGTTTTACGATGACCCTGATTTAAACCATCCAGAAAAGTTTTTTCTTTAGCAGATGTGTCCACAGCTATCTCTGCTATAAACATGTGTTAGTCTGCGTCTGGAAAGACAAACAAATATGAAGCGGAGCATTTGAGTGTGTGCGTGCAAGCACCAGATTCTGGTCCCACATTCTTGGACTTCACAGTCATGACGACAAGGCAGAAATCCTAACACAGTGAAAACACATGGATATTTCTTAATAAAAACATCTAACTTAATCCCCTCTGACTTCCTTTCATTTCAAAACAC